GTGTGACACCGGGTAATCCTGCAAAGGACAGTCCAAAATAGGTGGAGCCATACGGTGTCTGCGGTGCTGGGCAAACTCCTGTCGAGGGAACAAGAGCGCTCTCCGGCTGCCAGGGGGAACTGAGGAGGTAACGTGCTGAAGAGAGAATAGTTCTGGGCAGCTGTGTATGTCGAAAAGGAGGAGGCCATCTGATGATCGGAAAAAGGCTGCGGCATGGTGAACTGTCCCACCGGTGTAGATAGCGGTGGTTGAGATTGAGCCGGAGAAGAGGACATGATGATCGTAGACGAGGATTCTGCGGCAGAACTGAATCTGGCACTCACCGTAGAGGAAATCGGAGGTGCAGTCATCGAAGTGGTCAGCGGCGCCGTTGAGAGAGTTGTGTCAGTCATGGCGGCGACACAAGCTTGCGTAGAAGACGTACGTAGGAGAAAAGAAAAAAAGGGTTTTTCTTTTAGGCTCTTGATACCATGTGAAAGTATTTGGGAAAAGGTACTCCAATATGAGTCCTCACCTGTGTATATATAATGAGAGAGTTCAAGATACAAAAGGAAACAAATATTCCTAAATATATTTTAGGATACAAATATCCCTAAAATATATTCTATTAAGTAATACATGTATCATCATAATGTTAATGTGATTTGTTTTAATTGTTCATCTGCATATTGCTACATTCACATTTCAATATGATATGAAATTTATTTGTTGGAACTTGTTCTTATGAATATCCAAGCTTCATCTCAAGTGATTTTTTTATATGAAATGCCTTCCCAAGGAATTCCAGAGGTAAATCTCAGTTTCATTAATTATTTGGGTATATTTTAAAATCAATTGATTCAAGATTATACCTATTTGATGTACTAATTCAGTGCTTTCATTGATTAATGTTGATTCTTTATTTTGTTCATTTCATATTCAGTGCTTTCATTGATTAATGTTGATTCTTTATTTTGTTCATTTCATATTCAGTGCTTTCATTGATTAATGTTGATTCTTTTTTTTGTTCATTTCATTTGTTTGTACAGAATGGGGTGATTTGTGGGGAGAATTTGGAGCAAGCTAGGGAAGAATTTGTAGAAGTTTGAAGCACTCTAGATATTTGGCTACTTGGCCCCTACAAGTGCTATATTATTAAAGTCCCAAGTTTTTTTATTTTGGAGAATTAATTAAGACTTTGTGTCAAAGATGTGGAATGTACTTTGATGAATTCGGTCATTCGGAAGTAATTTATGTATGTACTATATGGTTCATAGAAACAGTTTGTTTCATGAAAAACAACCCAACAATACATGATTTATAATATCATGCATTTTGGTCAAGTAAATTGTATGGGATATATCATATATGTAATGCTACATAATTGTTTATGAGTTATAGATTTGCGATAATGCTTTGTATACATATTCAAAAAAAAAAAATGTTTACAAAAAAATACGTAGTAATGATACCAGGATTCAAAAAAATGTAAATGATATTTGCAGGTATAATAAATACGTAGTAAGAAAGATACTAACGTATCACAAGCTTTTTTTTATGGTTTGGAGTCATTTTTTTATATGATACTTATGCATGATGATTATGTGTGTCGTTACAGTATCACAAGTAATTGTGATATTAGAGCGTCAAAATATCTAATGATACTTAAGTGTTGTAATTTGCTGACATTTTGCCTATGACACTAAACATATAGTGTCACCATTTCCCACCTTCTGCGACGGAACACATGTGTCACGGAAACTTTCTGTGACACAAAATAGTGTCATTATAAGAGCTTTTTCTAAGCTGCTAGTGTATTTAGAAGTAATAACATATACAGAGTACAATATACAATAGACCAATTTTGTTACCACATTCAAAAGTTGAACTTTGTACGTGTATTAATTCCACTTTTGGTCCTATGAGTTTTGTGGCACTTCCATCTTTAGCCCACATCTTTTACTTTGTCCACTTTTGGTACTTGACTAATGTTTTTTAACCGTTTGTGGTCCTTTTCCGGCGATTTTAACCATCGGAAATAATGCCAGAAGGATCAAATATGGGCGAAAACATAATAGTCATGTATCAAAAGTGGACAAATTGAAAGATATGGACTAAATGTGGAATTGACCTGAAACTCTAGGACCAAAAGTTGAATTTATTCGTGTATTAATCATCAAGACAACTATTTATATAAAATAATTAATTAAATTCATGCATCATGATAAATTGACAATATTGTAAATAAAGTCAATTATATTCATTTCTTGTGATATACGGAGTAGGCTCTTCAGATCAGAAACGACTTTGTATTTGGAGATTAATTTGTTTATAAGTGTTCCTCTTGTGATATGTAGTACGTAGGTTTAGAAAGGTTAAATTTTTTGCTTTCAAACCTCCACTTATACTTAACTTAAACACTTTAAAATAAAAGAATTGAAAGTCCGCAAATGAATGAATAATTTAAAATGCTTTTCAAAACTAATCACTTCTAAAATAGAAGCAAACTTAAACACGCCCAAAATATACCTACGCTAACTATATAAAGAAAAAGGTCAAGTGGTCAAATGTGTAGAATACATATATGAGCACCTTTAATTATTTAATTATGGGATTCATATATTATCAATAAAGTACTAATATAAGAATTACTAAAAATTAGCGAATACGTAGTATGTTATTTCGAATTCGCTGTTTCACACCAATCTCATCGACCAATGTAAAGTTTGACTTTCACACTTGCCAATGAACAATTTTGACTGTAATTATATTTGATTATGTATTAATTGATATTGTAAAAAGTTGATATTTTGGAAATTCACATTGATAGGAATTCAATAACATTTTATACGAAATAATGAGCAATTTTGACTGTAATTATATTTAATTATGTATTAATTGATATTGTAAAAAGTTGATATTTTGGAAATTCACATTGATAGGAATTCAATAACATTTTATACGAAATAATTTGCTTATGTATATTAGTAAAAATTTGTGATCAAAGTAAGGTCTGTGAATAGTATAAAAATCACTATGTTGCAACAATTAAGAAGGCATGAAGTATATAAGTAGGCCCCTAGAAATGCAATATAATGCATGTATATATCCTTCATTATATCAACAATATAGATAGTATTAAGTTTCTCTAGATTTTTGTTTGAGCAACTTATAATAAATAATAAAGGAGGCACGCACGGTGGGAAGGAGATAAGAAAAGGAAACCTAACGAGGATGGCTAAGCACACGGACTTGTCTTCAGCTAATCATCGTCAGCAGCGGCGTAAAACCGCAGCCGCCGCGGGTGTCCTCCTTTTGCTGATCGCCGCCACATATATACATCCAGCACTTGCGGTGGTAGGAGAACCCAGCCACGGGGGCTTAAACACCACCACGAAGCCACGCCGCCCTAGTGTGTCGAAGTTCTCAAAGGCCCCCATTGTTACTGGTGGCGGTGCTAACAATGTTAATGGTAATAATAATAATAAGAATAATCCCCCCGTAAGAAAGAGCGGTGCACAACTCATCAAGCCGCCGCTCATCCTACCCCGCCGCCTTGCATGGGACAATATTAACTATCCAATGTTTGGGTTTCAGATTGATACACTCATAATCTTCAATCTCCTTACCCTTTTCCTCCTCTAATTATGTTTCATTTCTTTCATATGTAGTAGTACTCCATATGTTTTACGACGTACTAAATAAGAGTCAAAACGATGTGCATATTAAAATCTCATTACTGTAATAGTTTTTCTTTAATTATGGGTAATTATTGTCATGTTTCATAAAATAACATATCACTAATATACTAAATATTGGTTGTATGAACGTATGGTTTTATCATGGCACTAATATACTTAACCATGGAAAACTATAGTATACATTAGTTTGAACTTTGAAATATCACATTTTTTATTTGGAAGTTTGATATACGGAGTTTTATTTATATTATGTACTCTCAAATAATGTAACGGTTTGCTACCTCTAATTTGTCTATTGATATATCAATATATGTACTCGGTCAATCTCTTATGTATATAAGAGTGCTAGCTATATTCTGGCTCAGCTCGTGCTTATCTGAGTTTGTTTGTGTTTTATCTCCATTGCATGTCCTATTGATATGTACTCCGATCCATCATATTTATCAATATTAATATTCATATTATCGATTGCATAGTGCTTGATATAATCTTTTACTCCTCCCATTTATATACACCTTGCCCAATTAAACTTTCTTAACTTTATTTACTTAGCCATTATATTTTTATTTGTTTTTAACTTCGCAGTTATCTTCAAAAAATCATTTGACTGCCTTCCCGTAGGGATGGACCCGGGCCGGGCCGGTTCCGGTTCCGGGCCGGGGCCGGGCGGGCTTTTTTTTGGGTTACATGGGCCCGGAACCGGCCCGGGTTGATACCGGGTCCGGGCCTAACCGGGCCGGGCCGGCCCGGGCCCGGTTCAATGTTTTTTTTTTTTTTACTTTCTTGTTATCTCCCTACCCCCCCCCCCCACCCCCACGCCCCAAACCTCCCTAAAACACCCAGCCCTACCCTAGGAAAAGAAAAAAAATTGAAAAAACCAAAAAAAAAAAAAAAATGAACCGGGCCCGGCCCGAACCGCCCGGGCCGGTTCAACAAAAATAGGACCCGGAACCGGCCCGCCTGACCCGCCAACACGGGCTAAAAGCCCGGAACCGGCCAACCGGGCCCGGTCCGGGCCGGGCCCGCACAGTAGCGGGCCGGTCCGGTTCCGGGCCGGTTCGGCCCGGCCCAGTCCATCCCTACCTTCCCGGTAGAATTTTTAGCTGAAATTTGGTATGAGTAAACTAGACTTAATGAAGAAGATGCTCAAAAAATTTCATCAAAAAATTCTACCGGGAACCGTTCCAATTGGCGACGGCTGGGCAGAACCTCCTATATAAAGGACTAATTGAACACTTTAGGTCAGTTCAAGGACCTATTTGACGCTTTAGCCAAAAGAAACCAATTATAAGTCTCACATCTATGATAGTTTGCAATATGTGGAACGGAACAAAAAGAACAAGCATTGAACTATAAATTGCAGATAAGGGTTAGATTTCAAGTTTAATCAGCAAACAGCTATTGTATTGCATCTTAAGAAGTAAAACACCATAACTGCTAGGCAGCAGAGCTCAAAGAATTGAGCAATTACATCAATAAAGTTGGAATTACTCAACGAATTTGGTAAATGTACAACATGACATTTCGCTCACATATCAGCACGAATACAAATTACATACCATTTCCGGCCAATGCCATCAATTATTGACCTTCTTCTTCCAACTTCTTGACATGGGCCTGCAACACCATTACCAAGTTCCTAGCGGGAGCCTGCAAAGTCCCCACAACAGCAGAAGCAGGGGCCTTTAAAGAGCCCAAAAGCTTAGCATAGACCTCTTCCCGAGAAGGCAAAGTCTCCAGGGACTTAAACTCATCAGGCCCATAGAATTTTCCCTCAAAAACGGCGCCAGTAAAGTCATTACCATCCAGCTTCTGCTCCTTCTGGAATGTTCTGTAAGGTTTCAAAGAACCAGGGATTTCTTCACTATGAACAAATAGCCAAGCATTCATACCTGACATACATGGCTTCAGTGCCTCCCATTGAGTCCCTTCAATGGCTTTGAGCACCAAAGTGTTCTTCGCGACAATAACCTTTGTGGTCTCAGGGAGCTGTGTACGGAGTTCTTGGAATTGCTTTACTGTGAACCCTTTGTAACTGATTCCAGCCAGAAGGTAGCAGTCATGGAGCTGCTGTTTCACTGCCTCAACGGTCTCTTCCTTTTTGGTTCTACTGATGGCTGACCGGATGGTTAAAGTTCTAGTCCTGGATGGCCGGGTGCTGAGTTTGAGGGGGTAGTTGGGAGAGATGGCATGATTGCAGAAACGGGATTTGATGGAGGGAGGGAGGGAAGAATGAAGAGGAAGGGGTAGAGGATACACTGTGGAGAGAATCGAAGAAGCCTCCATGGATGAGAATCGTAGTCGTCTTCCCTCCTATAATGAAAATGCAAAATGACGTGTGTCAGACAAAATAATATGAGATTCTTTCTCAATTACAAGCTTGGAGCTGCGGATTGCTATTGGCTGCCATCACACTGTGGCCGATCTAACACTTTCACTTTGGGTGTTCGAAACTACTTTCAAATTAAAAACTAAGAACAATAATATTGTGTGATGCAACAATTTTACTTTCATCAACAGCAAACTACTACATTATTCAGATTTTCCATTAGATTATCCCAACTGTTTAAATAAATAGTAATCATATTCATTAATAAAACCATAAATGGAATACTCCGTATAATTTTCCTCAACAAATCTTAGCTATTAACACACAAAAATTAAGCAAAAACACTTCTACCGCACCAACAAATAAACTAAGCAAAACACCAATAAATTGAACCAACCATTGGGACAAATTATACAGCCCACATTCATAGTTGATACATTCAAGCAGATTTCAGGTCTAATCGAAAGGAAAGCACTTGGAATTGGGAATTGTCTCTGCAAATTTTATATTTGGTTTGCAAAAACTAGGTATTAATTTGGGGGTGAGACTTCTCCCAAAAAAAAAAAAAAAAAAAAAAAAAAAAAAATTGGGGGTGAGACTGACCAAACACCAGGAGTGGTCGCGTGGAGGCAGTGCCAAGATGTATCTGTGGATTGGCTGGATTCTGGAAGCTGGACCGCTGGTGAAGTGGTGCACAGGTGCCGACGGGAGCCACTAGAAGTATGGAACTCGCGAGGCTGGAGCTAATAACGATTGGAAGTAAGAAAACTCTCGACGGCGGTGACTAGAATGGGCGGCAGAGAGACGGAGGGCGGAAGCGACTGCAACTCGCGAGGGGCTAGGATGTCTGGAGGAGGCGAGGACTAGAGGAGCGCGACTGAGCTCCCTGCGAGCAGCGGAGAAGAATAGTCTGGACGAAGAAATGATTTTCAGATAAGGTGCGGAGAACGACGATGTCAAGTTCTGTTTGAACCTAACCAACGACGTCGTTTTTGTAAAAAAGAAAAAATCGAAACATTTTGGGGTTCCTGTAAAGAGTAAACTGTGAAGCCATCATCCCTACCGCAACTTGGAGCAAAAATTTGTTAAGAGCCTATTTCATAATAGGGAAAAGTACAGAAAACATACCTGTGGTTTGGGCCATTTTCAGATAGGGGCATGTGTTTCATTTTTGAGACATGTGTTTCAATTCCGTTATCATAGCAGGGGCATGGTGTCTAACGTCGTTGGAAAAATTAACTCCGATTTTAAAAAGTCTCTGAAAAATTAAAAGAAAAATACTGGGAGGTGCGCCTCGTCAAGGAGATCAACAAACTATCTTTCTCTTTAAAAAGTACACGCTCATCAACATACTCTCATTAAAGAAATAAAATGAAACACAATCCAAAAAGGCAAATTTCATTACTACAACAAAAACGGTGCTAAAATAACTTTGCTAACTCCTTATGTTCCAATGTTACTAGGATGGAGGTAGTAGAATTTTACGGATAATCTTAGTTTTTTGGATTTTAGGTTTAGCCACAATGCATTTTGTTTTAGTATTAAAATAATTACATGACATCATCATTTTCATTTACCCCATTGCCGCAAAGGCTCCCACCTAGGTGGGGTAGGGGGGTCGGATGTAAGCAGTTTTACCCTGGTATTAAAGCACAGAAAGACTGTTCCCGGATGACCCATAGTCAAAATCGCGTCCAAAGTTGCATGGACTGACTGCTGCTTCATAACAAAGAAGCGCAGACAGTTTAGTGAGTCATTTTGCTTTATTCCATCATATTCTCAAGCCAAAAAATAATCAATCTTTGACTTCATTGCAAATGATGGAAATAAAATAATTGCATGTATGTGACTAAAATAAATGTTATTTACAATTCAAAATGTGACCTTTTAAGTGTAGTGACTATACTATAGTAACTTGGTCATTGTAATATATGTTCAATTTTTACACTTGAATGACTATGTAACTCTATCATAGTAACTACTAATCATATTTTTGAGAAAAAAACTCATTTAATAATCCAATATTTTGTATTGTAATATGCAATCATGGGGAGTAGGGTTTCTTTTTTGCATTTAAGCTATTATTATTATTACTATTATTATTATTGTTGTTGTTGTTGTTGTTGTTGTTGTTGTTGTTGTTATTATTATTATTATTATTATTATTATTATTATTATTATTATTATTATTATTATTATTATTATTATTATTATTATTATTATTATTATTATTATTATTATTATTATTATTATTATTATTATTATTATTATTATTATTATTATTATTATTATTATTATTATATTATGCATTGCATCACTTAATGGATTAAGGGTGTTTTCATGTGAACTGTTTTCATAGAGACCAAACATTTACCAGAACCATACCAAACCAGTTCAGACCAAATCAGACTTAAACGGACTAGATGGCCAGATCAGATCAGACCAAAAAAAATTCAATCCAATTGAAAACAAATAAATGGAACGACCAAAAAATAAATTTGTCAAAGTTTTAGGGAATGGATGGAGTATTAAATTTTAAAAAACAAATACTTACTAAATTCATTTATAAAATTGGTAAGGAGCTACAACTATATAATTTAATTTAGTTGAACCAGACACTACCTGCATGCTGCATGGTAATAACTAACAATTTTTATAAGAACATATCAATTAGTCAAAAACATGAAGATATTGGAAGTATGTACCCACACAATCAACATTTCATTGTTTAAAATCTTAATAGGCTAATTGTTAAGTTTTTTAAAATGTAAACATATTTTACAGCCCACATACATAAATAAAACGAAAAACAATATTTGCATGTCTGTTAAGTAAGGATGTTCTTACTTGGACTGAGATTTTCTGGTCTAGTCTGGTTTGATCTGGCCGGTCTAGCCTGGTCTGGTCTAAATCGGTTTGGTTTGGTCTGGTAAAATGTCTGGTCTCTGTGTATTTTATAATTGTCCAAGTCTGATCTAGTCTTGATTGGTCTGGTATGTTCTGGTCTGGGACTGAAAACAATCCAAGTAAAAACATCCTAATAGGGAGTAGTATTACCATTTTTGTCATTTATGAAAATTTTGCAGTTAATACTACTACGTATTTTTTATTTGCTAGAAAAAAATTAACCCCACAATTTCTACTTTTTTTTATATTTATATTCATAATTCTTACGTAGTAGTGTAGTACGTAGTTTAAGTGTTTGACACAAACAGATGACGAGATATATTATAGAGTAAGTATTTTTTTTAACTTTAGATGAGATGAGATGTACTGATAAATTATACTACACAATATACTCTAGGCCTAAACACAATATGTTTTTATAACTAAATTATAAGTGAATACTTACATTTATAAAATACTTGAGAGTAGCAAAACATAATTTTTTGAATAGTCATTGGTCAGCACAATTAATTACGTACGACGTTTTCTTTTGGACTGAAATTTGCTGGTCTGGTCTGGTCTAGTCTGTTTAAGTCTGGTCTGGTCAGATCTGGTCTGAACCGGTCTGGTAAACGTCTGGTCTCTGTATATTTTATAACTACGGAAGTCTGGTCTGGTCTGGTCTGTTTAAGTCTGGTCTGGTCTGGTCTGTTTAAGTCTGGTCTGGTCTGGTCTGTTTAAGTCTGGTCTGTTCTGGTCTGGGACTAAAAACAGTCCAAAAGAAAACATCCGTAGTACGGACTACGGAGTACTACATATGTCTAACGATTAGTATCTGGTGTGGCCAGTTTAAGTTTGGTAAATGTCTGGTCTCTTTGTAATTATAACTATGGAAGTCTAGTCTGGTCTGATCTGTTTAAGTTTGATCTGATAATGACTGATCTGATCTGTTTAAGTGTGATCTAGTCTGATCTAGTCTGATCTATTTAAGTCTGGTCTAATCTGGTATAATCTGTTTAAGTCCGGTCTGATTTGTGGACCGAAAACAACTCAAATAAAAACATCCTACGGAGTATATAGCAGTGTCCTGTTAGGTTTATAGTTTATAGTTTTAATACTCCGTACCACGTATAGTATTAGTATTGGTAGTAATTACGAAGTATTAAAGCAATCATCTAGGCTTTAATTAGGTTTTTGAATAAAGTTAAAGAGGGCAGGGTACGCATTAGAACAGTACACAACTGCTTTCAGATCGAAGCCGGTGCTTTCAGATGGGGAGGGATGAGGAGGTCGCCGATCATTACTCTGTTTTGGGGTTACCCTCCGGCGAAGAAGGGTCCAAACTGTCGCCGGAAGCGATACGCAAAGCTTATTACGCAAAAGCAAAGGCATTGCATCCGGACAAGAGACCCAATTCCCATAACGCCGCGGCACATCGGGACTTCCAGAAGCTGCTCAACTCGTACGAGGTTCTCAAGGACGAGAGAACCAGGAAGCGATTCGATGACGAATGCAAGGCGGCGCGTGACGCAAAGCGTAGGAAGGTGGCGGTGGCGACGACAGCGAGTGATCTCAAGGCCCCGAGCGGGGCCGCGGCCCAGGCGAAATTTCGGGCCGGGGAATTACGGTATGTGCTCGAAGTGACATGGTCGAAGAAGGAGAGACAGTATACTCATGGTGAATTGAGGGAATTGCTTGCTGAGTTTGGTGAAGTAAAGTTCGTCTATGGGATGGGCTCCAAGAAGAAAGGGCTGGTTGCTTTTGCCATGACTTCCAGAGAGGCACTTTTATCTGCCTCTAAGCTTGGGAGAGTAACATGCACTACTCAAGTTCCCTCCCAGCTCTTCATCTCAATACATCTTTCTTAATTATTTATATTACTACCTAGCTATACTACTCCATATTATTTAACCTTGCTCCATAATTCATGCGAATTGAAGAACACAGGTCTTGTTTGTGATAAATTTGTTGTTTTATTATTGTTTGATTGTTGTTTTTACTTATTTAGTTTAGTTTGTAGGTTATAATTTGTATTTCTTGTGTGTATTTTGTTCTAGGTATTATAAGGGATGTAAGGGAGTATTATAGGCATCAAAGGACGGCAAGATGAAACACATATTCATCTAAAGCCCGCACTCTCATACCGAAGGTTTCGGATTTGAAACTCATGGAGAGAGTTTCACCCCTGTTTACCTCAAGCTCCTCCTAGTCCTTCTTCCTGACCCCCGAGGTAAAAAAAGAACATGTGAATTAGTGAAGTTATTTAAAAAAGAGTTTTAGTTAATATTGAATTGGAAAAGTAGACAAAGTAGTAAGGAGCTAGAACTACACATATATTACAATATTTGGAGTTACATAAATTTAGGGAATTAACGAAAATGAAGTGTAGAAGAAAATCAATGAGACGAAGAAAGTAATAATTATCATGTTTTGGAAAGAAATACTCCGTAACTTATAAAAACCCCGAGGTAGGGAGCATCTACAAGAAAAATGTTATACTAAGAGCAAAAAAATGTTAATTACTATTTCTATGTTTGAGTATTTGCAATTTGTAATAATAGGACTTAAATATCGTTTGGGTCTATGTAATTTTACTCATTTACTCTTGGACTGTAAATATTGTTTGTTTACCTTCATTATAATCAGGGAGGATTATACTTCACATAATTTGTACTACTTTATACATCACACAACTATCGTTATTATATACTCCCGTCCCAAAAAAATCTTCACACTTGTCATTTTTTGGGATTGCCCAATTGATTGTGAACAGTGTTCCCGTCCAAATGTGCCATAGGGAGAAATTCACAGGATTATTGTGTCAATTAATGCACTGGTTTATACGGAGTAGTTGTTTAGAAATGAATGGTTAGGAATGTAAGGGAGTATTATAAGGGATGTAAGGGAGTATTATAAGGGATGCAACTTGCCGCCCATAGGAATAGTTGCTGTTGCAAGTAATTCTACTGTAAATCACAATGTACTGATGCCGCCCAAAATGTGTATTCGTGCTTCCGAAATGGTATAATCTTTTCAATTAAATCTTTTAATTCAATTTATGAATAAATTACTACTCCCTCATATTTAAATGTTTGTTACACTTTCTAATTTGTGATGTATTTAAAAATTTGTTATATTTTTCTTTTTTGGTAAGTTTTTCCTTTAAAAATGATCAATTATCCTTATTTTTTCTACTTTTTATTTTCTTTTTCTTACTGTTTCACCATATCTCATAGTTTTTCCTCATTATTGATTATCCCTATTAGACAGGCGGGCAGTATGTTGTTGGGACTGTACCGATACACAAATTATAGTGAGTTTTACGCACATCAAAAAATACGTCTACAGCCTCTGTCCCGTTGGAAGGTCCCCGTAGCAAAACGGCACAGTTATTTAGGCAATAATTAAATAAAATGTTTCGAGTATATTTTGAGAAATAATTTTAATAGGTATATATTATACTACGTAATGTAGTTAGTATTGATAATTGTGATGTTATAAATGTATTATTTTTAATATTTAATGATTAATTTACCACTTAAGAATGTGAATTGTTTCCTAAAATGAAAATTAGAACCTTTATATGGGACGTCCAAAAAGGGAAAACGAGAATTTTCTAATGGGACGGAGAGAGTAATATTTAAAAAGAAAGACCTTTTATTTGATAGTCTGTATGATACTAAGAAAAACTATAAATATATGCACAAGTTCATTCGTTCCCGGACTTTCAATCCAAGCTAACCAGTTTTCATTTTTTTTCAGTTGCTTTGTTCATCTATCCAAACCGATGTTTTCTTTTGGACTAAAATTTGCTACAATCTGGTTTGATCTAATCTGATCTGTTAAATTTCTAGTCTCTGTGTATTTTATAAGTACGGAAGTCTGGTCTGATTTGATCTGATCCGGGACTAAAAATAGTACAAGAGAAACCATTCTAAGAAAAATGATTGGGATGTGGAGCCCGATCAAAGACATTGAGCAATGTTAATTTTAGTGTATAATTTTTTGGCAAGGAATTTTCTCAAGCTTGTGAAACTTGGTAGCATAAGGTTTCTTGCCATAGATCCAAAAAATTGACTCTTAGTAGCCTGTATTCACCGGTGCTTCATCCCCTGAAACATGCGGTATACACAAAATTCAGTCAAAAGTAAAAAAAATAAATTAATTCATCTACCAATAACACTAATTCACTAAAATCTTAAATTAAAATTTGATTCATCTTTAGATATTACCGACCAAATATTCTTAGTATCTTCCCAGCATGCCCAATCTATAAATTGATAGTGTAAGTCGTGCAAATAAGGTGTTTTTTTTAGGAAAAATTGACAAGAATCTCACCTTTTTCGGTCTTTTCACAATAATCCCGCTTTTACGTAATCCCATAATAATCTCACTTTTGCACCTCATTTTCTTTCTTTAGACCCTGACCGGTTGATGACCTGATATACCAGGTTTTTTACCTTTTCTTTGAAAACCTTACATAAATAATCCAACCTTTCGGAAATCTGCTAAAAACAATTCCATGTCTCATTTTTTCCGTAAAATTTTTCTTTCTTTATTTTCATCCCTACACACTTTTTTATTCTTTTTTCTATCCTTTTACTCTTATTTCTTTTCCATTTTTATTATTCTATTTCTCATTCAATTAGGAGATTATTGTTGTTGTAAAATTTCCCTCCAAAATAGCTCTTTTTTCGTTTTCTTTTTCTTCTTGTATTTTTATTTCATTTCCCTTTTTATGTTTTTTTTCACACTCTACTTTTTGTTATATTTTCTTTTTATTTTCACTTTTTCCTTTTTTTCTTCTTGTTACTTTATTTATGTTTTTTCTTCTTTCTTCTTGTTATCTTAATTTCACCATCAATATGTTTTTTCTCCTTTCCTCATTATTGTATGTTTCCAAGTAAATTCACCATTAATCCCATCAATTGTGGGAAAAATCCTATGTGATAAAAAGATTATGGAAAAATAAAGGCCAAAATGTCAAATTAGTCTCCGTGCTATTATCAAAGGTCAATTGAGTCCTCCTACTTTTAAATGAATCAATTAAATTCACCAAGTTCTAAAAATTAACCAAATTCTCCATTAATTGAGAGGTAACCGGCCGGTAACCCATTTATTTGCTGACATGGAGCTTATGTGGGGGTTATTAATCAATCTTTGTTTCCACATGGGTTAAAAAAAGCTTATGTCCTCATGGTCTCTTCGAAATATCCTTCGACAATTCTCAGAAGAACAAACATTAGAAGGCCTGTGACGGACAACTGAAAAACCGATGACAATGAATATTGTAAGGGTGAGGACTGAGGGGATCGACAGGGAGGAGAGACAGAATGTGGAAAGTTCTAGGGAGTGATTGATAGAGAAGTGAGTGAGTTGAGACTTGAGAAGTTGAGACGGTGATGGAGTCATCAATCAAGAGAGGAGAGTGTTGAGCCTGAAGATTCTCCTTCCAAACAGGCCGATAAATCAAAGTGTTTAATTAGACGGGCCAGCCCAAATGATAATACATGCGCATCAATTAACGAGTGACTAAATCAGCAAAGCTAGGGATAAGTCCAACAAGAGAGTGGAGCCTAACTGAAAGTCAATTCGGTTGGAAGTGGAGGCAAAATAGACGGGACCGTTGCAAGGGTTGGGGAAAAAGAAAATTATCTAATAATACACTTCAATTTAATGTAATACACAACCAATTTGTGCTCACACACACATTCAAATTATTCGAACTACTTCATATTATTAAGTTATCATAGTTTCTTTATTCTTGATCAATTCATTATCGATTCATATTTGTTTGATTCTCATTTCATTCATATTCTTAGATTAGTTTATTTTTAGCATAAACAATTTGGTGTTGTCTGTGGGAAATTCGTGCAAAGAAGAATCGATCATGGCCAAAAGTACAAATCCTCTGTTGATTGAATTTCACGAGCAACTTGAGACCACCAAGGAGGAAATCCGGCGTGAAATGGCTCAACGGATCGCCTACATCCAACGAGAAAATGATGTGATGCGCTCTCAAGTCCGGTCAGTGGCATCTATAGCTTCTTACTCAAGATTCAACCGAAGGAGTGATGCCATGACAACAATGACGAGATTGGAGTTGGGCTCCACCCCAATTTCGACCGAACCATTTGTCAATATAACGGAGTCGTTATCTCTCACATTGGGACTATCACCCACCGGTAATCCTCAATCCACGGTCATCTCGCAAGTCATACCTTACGAGCCTCTTGTTCCGGAGGCAACTTCAGCCCCCAATATTGTGACACCGCACCCGGATGTACTTGAATTTGGAATTTGATATATATTTGAATTTCCTAACGAATAAAATCGCGTAACGGAATTGGTATATTTAATTAATGCGTGATTAATTAAATTATTTATCGGGTCCCTAATAATGGGAATAGACTCCCAAATATTTAGTTGGGCCATGGAAAGGGCATGGAGTTGACCTGTTGGTCAAACGAGGCCCAATTATCGGTACTGGTAATTTATCGGATAACAGCCCGAAATAAATTTCGGGGACTCCTAAATTAATGTTGGGGAACGTACATCTACTCTAAAGGCCCATGATTATGAGGAATGCGTGATATATTTTATTTGGCCCGACAAAATAAAATATAGTTAAAACAGTCGGAGAAATACAACTTTCGGGGCCGGTTGTACACACCGGGGCATAATGGGATGACCTCCCACACGAGTGGGGGCCACCCCACGTTTTTGTGTGCACTAGTTGACTAAAGGAGAGCTGGAGGGACATGAATTGAGTGGCATGTGCGGATGATTGAAGGAGGGGATGAGTAGAGACAACTCATACACCCCATGTCCCTTCCAAGCATTATTTTTTGCTTGGTTGAGGATAGATACCTCCCCCCTTCCCATTCCACTCATATGAACCAAGAGAAAGGAGAGAGAGGTCTAGAGGAAGATCTCACAAAATCCAA